TGCTTCCAAAAAAAATCTCTTGGCAAGCAGGAAATTGTGTGGAAAGGGTGGAAGGGGACCTTGCATCAAGCAATGCACATTGGACAAGGTGGGGGAAATGATAGGGAGAAGTAAGGCACCTTTTGGAGAACAAAAAGTTAACCAAGCTGTCCTGGATTACCAGTAGCTGGACACTATGTTTACATCTCTTTTGATTGTCTTTACAGAAAGCAATGAGAAGAAACTGAATCTCTTGCTGGTAAATTGCAGATTACTCGGTAACAAGAATAGCAACAACACTCATATCTAGTTTCTCCCTTTGCCTCTCTCTCTCTCTACACCATTAGTTTTCATGCTCACTGTTGTTGCTGTGTGCCTTCAAGTTCATGGGGTTTTCTTGGCAACCTTCTTTAGAGGAGGTTTGCCATTGCTTTCTTCGGAGGCTGAGAGAGTGCAACTTGCCCAAGATCACCCAGTGGGTTTACCTGGCCAAGCTGGGATTCGAACCCTGTTCTCCAGACTCCTAGCCTAGTGTTCAAACCACAACACCATGCTGGCTCTCACACTTACTAGGATACCCTTTTATATTGGTTGCAAACCTGCTGGTGACATATGCATGTGTAATATAGTTGTCAAGTACCAGGGGACACACTGGTTTGGGAATGGAGGGTGGCTAGGAGTCAATAAGGTAGCACCCAGCCTGGTTTCTCTTGCAACTAGGAAGAGAAATATCTGGGAGAGTAGCCCCATTTCTCTCCCTCTGGCTGTTCCAATGCTTCCAGCGTTGCCTCCCACTCAGTAAATGGTCACAGTAACACCTCCACTGGAGCTAGACCTTGGTTGTGAGCTCTATAGAGCTGTGCATACAGAGTATTATGCTCTGCATGCTCCAGTGTAGGATGTCAGTTATTGACTTTTGGGAGGAGTATCTCTGTTTCTGCCTGCCTCAGAAATCCTACACATTCCAGTGATTCTGAGGGACAGACTAAGCCTCAACGCTGAGAGACTTGGGGCCCATTTTAGTGCACATTTATACTGCTATGATTCCATTTTAGCTATTTGTGGAATCTTGGGATTTGTGTTTTGGCGAGGCACTGGAACGCTCCGGCTGAGACTTCTAATTGTCCTTTGTTAAACTCCAAATCCCAGGATTCCACAGGACAGAACTATGGAAGTTAAAGTAGAATAATAGCACTATAATTCTGTAGTGTGAATGGACCTGAGAAGTAGTTTAACTGACCCCACTGTTATCCAGTAAAAAACTGAGCTGATCTTTTTACTTGTGGGAACTATTCCTTCCTGGCTATGCAGGTTGGGGGTGTGTGAGATTGGGGGACTATCGTCGCAAAAAGTAAATTGTCCAAGCTTTGAAAAGGAGCGTACACACCTGAACACATCCATCATTTCTCTGCAGTTGGAGTTCTAGTGGAACCGTCAGAGATCTGGCGGAACAGAAGTGTCCAGCATAGCCCACTACTTCTTTTATGTCTGGTTGTAGTAATTTGGCTCAACCATTTCCATTTCCATCCCACTGTCAAATTGTTCTTACAGTAAAAGGTTCTTCCTAATATTTAGATGGAATCTCATTTCTTGTAATTGGAACCCACTGGTTAGTGTTCTAGTTTCTGCAGCGCTGGAAAACACAACCTTTCTTTATATATTTAAAGACAACCATCATGTCATCTCTCAGTCATGTCTTCTCCAGGTTAAACATACCCAGTTCCCTAAGGCATTCCTCATAAGTATTGAATTCCAGACCTCTGATCATCTCAGATGTTCTTCTCTGGACACATTCCAGCTTATTGATGCCCAGAGTTGGACACAATTATTCCACATCTGACTAAAGCAAAAAAGAGCGGCACTACTACTTCCCATGCTCAACACACTATATTCCTGTTAAGGCAGCACTGAATTACATTGGCTTTTTTGGCTGTCGCATCACAGATTTGACTCATGTTTCACTTGTATTGCTTTTAAAACCTTGTGTCACCATCCCATACTTGTGCATTTCATTTTTTCTGCCTAGATGTAGTACCATACATTTATCCCTATTGAAATTCTCTCCAATCTGTCGAGGTCATTTTAAATCCTACACTGTCACCTGTCGACTTATGATCCCATGAATTTCATAGGGTTTTCTTAGGCAAGGGGCATTCAGATGAGGTTTTTGCCAGTTCTTTCCTCTGAAATATAGCCTACAGTATCCACCCACACCAATTAGGTGCCATCTGCAAATTTGATATGCATGCCTTCTATTCCATCATCTAAGTCATTTATAATGATGTTATAAAAAAAACACCAGGAACAGGAGAGAACCCCGAGGCACTCTACTAGTCACTTCATTCCAGGATGGAGAGCAACCAATCTTCTCATTAGGTTTCAGAGAACCTCAGTGTTTCCTAAAATGGTTTAAAAACCACTGTTCTAAAAGGTTCATTTACCCCATTTCTAAAATGTCTAGTTGTTTGGTCTGCAAATGTGGAGATAGAAAGCATGTCTCTTGAAGAGAATATCAATATCTCCCATGCAAGTCATAACCTGGAGGCACAAGTTACTCCTGCTTCTTCATTTGTTGCTTTTGAAGAATGTTCAAAGCAGGACAGTTCCTCATGAACAATGTACTTTCAGCCTCAGTTTCCCTTCTGCAAAATAAGAATTGTTTATACATTTGTACTAGTTTTACATAAAGGAAAAGTGCTAGCTTATAATGTCTCAGACCAGTGGCTCAGTTGTCTTAGGCTGCATCCACGCTGCAGAATTAATCCCTTTTGACACAACTTTAACTGCCATGGAATTATATTCGTTGTGGTACCTGAACTCTCTGACAAAGAGGGATGAATTTCTTACAAAACTACAATTCTCGAGAATTCCAAAGCATTCAGCAATGGCAGTTAAAGTTGTGTCAAATTGGATTATTTCTGTAGTTCAGACGCAGTCTTAGTTAGATACGTTTTGATTGGCAGTGATTCTCCAGGATCTTTGGTCATCTCATCTGCTATTTCAGATCTTTAACAGAAAATTACAGGACTTGGGACCTTATACATGCATAGCATGAGCAATATAGCCCTCTCATGTCACAAAAAAGTGTGAAGGTATAGCATGTGTTGTCATACTGAATGAAACAGAAGAAATGTATATTTATCTTCCAACCCATTTAGTTGTACTTATTTTAAAAATTGTAAACAGAAAATGTTCTGGTAGGAGCATTACATTTTAAATGGTTTGAGAAGCGCTGCTTCTTTGTTATTAACTGAAATAATCATAATACTTCTTTTCACATCTATCTGTTTGGACAAGAATCAGATAATAAAAGTCATTGTGAATGGTAGGGAAGGAGCAATCATCTCACCTCTTTCACATAATTTTTGTGTGTGTGTGTGCATTTTGTTAAAGCTCCTTTTATTTTCTTCCCTCTAAAACAAATGGCTCCAAACCATTAAAAATCTTATTTATGCATACTTTCCACATTTCTGAAGAGGCTTGTCCTGTGTTCCCAAACCACAGTTGTTTCACTCAAATGAACAAGCATGCCAAACATAGAAAGACAGCTTGTAACTTTTAGAGCTTTGCTGTGTGAAATGCCCTTATTTTATTATATGTCTAACACAAGAGCAGTGCCATTGAGTTTGTGCTGCTTCTCAGCATTGTGCCTGGAATGTTGATGGAAGCCATGTGAGTCAGAATATCTCAATGGATCTGGAAACTTTCTGATTATGTGGACTCATTAAGCCGTGCTCAAGTTCACATTGCTTGTGTACACATATTAATTTTCCCAGCCTGGAGTGCCCAACCATGTGTTAAGAACTGTCACCTTGGATGTATATAAAGAATGCACCAAATAATTATGTGTTTGTATTTGCTTTATCTTCCCCCCCACCCCCTCTGATTTTCACTAGTTCTGTGGCATTTCTGTTTTTATTATCTGTTCTCAGTATATTTCACAGTGCAGATCTATGTTTATCTTGCTGAGTAATAAGTACAGTTACGTTTAATGAAATGTACTTCCGGGTAAACATGTATAGCAGGAGTGTGGCCCTTGTCCTGACTGCAAAAGCTGTCAATTCAATGATTTGGCAAGACCCAGAGAAATCTGTCTCTTCTCACTTTGCAGAAGAGAGAGGGAGAGAGAGAGAGAGAGAGAGAAGGAGGTGGCAGAGAAAGAAGGGAGGGAGGGAGGGAGGGATGATTGGGATGAGAGATACCCACATTTTACAGGATCGCAGGCTCAGTTTCATCTCCTGAAAAAATGAGGGACGGAAGGCCCTGCAACAAGCAAATGAGAGCAAGCAGATTATAAGTCATTGAGAGAAATAACAATAAACATCTTCTTGGATATTTAAAATCTCTTCCTCTACCCTGTCTACCTAGTCTCTAGCTGTACACTGGCTTCTTTCTTACTTGCTCAAATTACTTTCTGAGCAGTCTATTAGGTACACCAAGGTAAAGGTTTCCCCTTTGACAAAGTTGTCATCCAACTGTAGGGG